GCATGTAAATGATGGGACTTTTTGAAGTTTGTCATTAACAAATGTAGACAACCTATGAAGGTCGTAATTACATATGCAAATTTACATTGCAATTTAGATGATAGCCAAGGTAATAGCAGTCATAGGAAATGCTGAATTTTTTGTTGGTATAGAAAGAGACAGATGAAAAAAAAAATGGAAATGCAGTGCAGTCAGAAACTCATATATTTTATATAAGTCTCTGAAGAATACTGAAGGGAAATATCAAAACTAGGAATATTTTACAATAACAACCACTATCAAAAATTTTAATTATAAATCTAATGATTTTATGAAGAACATCATTTCAACCACATATGAATTATATCAATACAGTATTAACACGATAATCCGGATTATTCGGTATACAATAATCAGTATTGAGTGGCTGAATTTGACTAAAAAATCCGGATTGTGAAGATATGTTATTTTGTATACCCCACCCAACTATGTTGTCAGCCCCAGTATTCTGCAACTTTTTAACAATATTCGATATTGTCTATTTTACAACAATTTCATTTGTTTGTTGTATAGTTTTTAAAGTAACAAAAGAAATTTAAACGATATCGAATGTTGTTAAAAGTTACAGAATAGGCCAACAGGGTATTATAGGTACCCTGTCAGGGCATCTAGACATGTTTTTTGTTTTTTTGTTTTTTTTTTTTTTTTTTTTTTTTTTATTTGACCACAATTGAAAGCAAACATCACAACACAACCCACGGTGAAGGAAATCTGGACAAGTAATTAGAAGGGCTGCACTGAATATTAGTAATATTTGTAGGCCTCTAGTCGGTCAAGATGTTGCAAATATCGCGAAATATTGCCCAAGCTCAGAATATAGAACCACACAAAGTTAGATTTTCGTGGATGTTGTGTAGGGTAACATAAGGGATAAAATATATGTACTTAAATCACAAAATTTTATTATTTCAAAATTAAAAAAAAAATGTTAAATATTTGTTCATTGTATAGTTTACACAGAGCCAACTCATTGTTCAATAAGCCACTATATTTCAAATCATTTTTTCTTTGTCGTAATTATTAAATATGTATCAACTAATAAAATAATACAAATAAGGAAACATTCAAAATCTGTTATAAATTGAATATTTAAAAGTGCTTCATAATTATTTTTTTATTAATTTATTTACTAAAGAAAAATGAACCATTTGTAAACAAACATACCTGTTGATTGTCCAATAAGAATAACAGCTGTAACGTCAAAAAATCTCCTTTGGCAGCAACTCTCATAAAGGCACGAACTCTCTTTTACAAACGACACACGTTTTATTGTCCCCACACACACACATACATTTCTCAACAATTGTAACGCACGATTAAAAAAAAACACCCGACCCCACGAAATTAACATGTTAAGCCGTACAATAAACCGACCGATAACAATAACAACATCATCTCATTGAAACGCACAACAACAAATAATTCACATAGGCAAAAGAACAACAAGTTGAAATCCCATTACAAGGCAAGGAAGCAAAACTTTTTTTGATGAATTTGCACTATAAACTCATTAATTAATTTATTATTTGTATTAAAACTGATGATTTGTATTGTATTTTACACTTTGTAAACATTTGTTTATTATTTTTAAACGATTATTTAAAGAAATTTAAACATTTAATTTTAACGAATAAAATTTGCAACCGGCCACGACTTTGCGTTAAATGACTACTGAAGAAAGAAGCAATTAGGAATAACAGTGTTGTCAATATCCATATCAAATAAAAAACGCTCAGTTTTAGTTTTATTCGAATTTAGTGGGAAAAATCGCGGAATAAAGATAAGGTTTTGCATGGCCGTATTTAAAATAATTTTTTTATTAAAATTTTTTAACAACAAATGAACAACTAATCATATATTACATTTTTTCCACTGTATTTTACGATTATCACGATTGTTGTATTAAATTAGTAGGTATTATTGATTTTACGTAAATTTTTTTTGTTTGGTTTTCAGAATGATTTATGTGACAGATTCGATAAAATGTAATAAGAAGATATTAATAATAGTTAACGAAGAAGTTCGTTTCAGTTTCTTTGACAAAAGCAAAAGTTTTAATACATACTCATTAAAATTTAAATAATTTTGTAAATGTATTCCAAATCAAATACCGGACCGCACTTTTATTGTCTACACAAAAAATCACATGGTCAAAACATATCGCAGCAAAAAAAAAAGTTATATCAAAAAAAACAAATAATTCGGAATGTAAATCGCCAACCTTTTTTGTTAAATTCCAATTGAAAACACAAATTAAACATTTAATATTTTATATGAGTGAATTGTAATACATTTTACATTATTTGCACTTTATTTTTACCAATAAATGATCAGATTAATGAATTAATGTTAAAATTTATTTATAATTTTATAATTATTTATAATTTTATTTGCTTTTGTTTTTTATTATTTCAACAATATTTTTATTGTGAATATTTATTTTTTTTATATTTTCAAATCAAAACACCCGCAATTAGATTAATCTCCGACTGAACACATAAACATGTCTTGTCTTGTTCTTCTCAAAACACATGGCAATAACAAAAAGCATATGCAAAAGAACAACACTTTGCAAAGAGATTGCAATGTAAAGAGCCCAGATTTATTTTGTTTTTTAATTTTATTTTAGTTTGTGAAATCTTACATTTTTTCAACATTTGCGTTTAATATTATATTTTATTGTCAAATACTGTCCACAATTTACGATTAACGAGCAAAATTCGCGACCGGTCAATCAATCAAATGGATGACAACTGTTGAGAGAGGGGAGTGGGAGAAACAGTGCTACCAATAAACTAATGTCAAATCACTTGCACGTCAATTGTTATTTACATTTTGCATTTGGTTTTTATTATTTATAATAGGTTCGTTCGTTTACTCAATAATTTGTACGAATTTGTACAAATTATTACAAAATGTTGTTCGTTTACCCAAAAGTCCAGTAAAAGAGAGTGAATTGAGAGAGCAGATTTGACAGTTGTGTTACTGAGTATTTGCAAATTCTTACAAGAAAATTTTACTCATCATGTACCATCAGCTGATATTTAATCAGCTGTTTTGTTATGTTTTGTAAACAAACAAAAAATTGTTCTCAAGAAAATTAATTGTTTTGTGAATTTTATTTTGATTTTGTATCATTAAATAGTGAAAACATACCGGTCACAACCCCTTTAAATGTTTGTGGGGAACAAACAACATCAAATTATCCATTTTTCAAATAAAATTGCTGTTTTTTAGTTTGCGCCAATTTTTTTGTTGTTTTAATCAGCTGTGTCGAAACAATCTTTTTACTGGATGTTGTTCGTTTACTTTTTGCAGTTTTCTCTCTTGAGAAGGAAAAATTCGTATTTACTCTCTGCAATTTCTTACTGAGTAAATATTACTGGGAAAGTAAACGAACGAACCTAATATTTTTTGTTATTTATTAATTATTGAATTATTAAAACAACAACCGCCGCGATTTTATTCACTAACCACATCTTTGACATAATTGCTCTCATCAAAACGCACAAACACATCGCAACAACAAAAGTCATATGCAAAAGAACAACAACACTTTGCAAAGAGATTGCAATGAAAAGGGCCAGACTTTCTTTATTGAATTATTACCGAAAAAACACTTATAACACAATTAACATTGCTTTAATTGATTAATTACTATATATTTTTCACTGTTTGCACTTTATTTTGTAAATTATTAAAAATTGTTGCCTCTAATTTAAATATTTCGTATTAACGAGTGATATTTGCAACCGACCGATCAATGAAATGACAACTGATGAGAGGTGGGAATGAGATAAACAGTGTTGCCAACAAGTTAATGCAAAAAGTCACTAGTACGCAAATTGTTATTTACATTTTGCTATCGTTTAAAAATATATTAATGTTGTTATTAATACAATATTTATTGTATTAAAACGATTTAAACATAAACCAAAAAAAAAATTTTAATTAATAATATTTGTTATTCATAAAACTTAAGGATTCAAATTTCCGCCTGACCGATCAATGAACCTAATGACAAGTGATGAGAGGTAGAAAAAGGAGACGTAATGTTACCAGTGAATTATTGTAAAACTTCTGTACACTTTTTTAATTGTTTCAATTGTTTTTTATTATTAATAAGACGTTTTAATTATACATTATAATGTATTAGATTATTAAATGTATTAAAAATATCATAATCATTGTTATGACCCTCATACAAAACACCGACTTACTGAATTAACCTCAAATATTTCAGTTCATAATTTGTTTAAGTCTTTGTATTTTTAATAGAATACTAACATTTAACTAATTCAATTTTTATTTATTTACAGAAACAAATTAAACATAATTTTTCACAACTGGTTTTAATGGATGGTAAATCAGCATAAATGATCATTAATATTGAATAGCTCCAGCATAAAAACAGCACAATACAAACTAACAAAATCAATTAATTAAAAAAATATCTAAAACGCAAAAATGTGAATGAACTCGGCAGTCACAATCAATCACAAAAGTGAACACACAAAGAACCAAAAATAAAATTGTGTTCCACTGTCTCCCGCTCTCCAGACGCCAATACAATCAAGTTGGATTTTAATTACTCGTGTGGCACAATTTAAATTCAAATTCCAGTTCATACAATTCTGACACACTCACACACAAAACCAAATTGGACACATTACTTCAGGCAATTGCTGCAACTAATCGGCCTAGCCCTAAGGAGTTTTATAACAAGACAAATTACGAAAAAAAATTACTCATAAATGAAATACTTCTCATCTCCGATGTCAAGAGGAATAACAACAAAAAAGACAACAACTAAAGTGGATTTTAATTGAATCAACTTCAAATTAGAAAATATTATCTGTGGCACATTGTTCTTGCATTGCCAGGCCAGGCGATAGTATCTTTTGCTGCACCACCGCCATAACCACCATCATCATCACACCCAGTAACCAGCATCACAAGCAAAATGCCCTCACTAAGACAAAAGGTCACCACATATTTCAGGCAATTGAGTTTCATTGCAGAACCACGAGATGGTCCGAAAAGTCCCAGAAAGACAGACGATGATAGCAATTTTATAATCAAGTATTTGGAAGGGTAAGTAAATAAAATTAGGGGGTAGATAATATATTGTTGATTATAGGAACGGAACTATGAGAGGACTATTATCGTATTAGAAGTTTTTATTATGGAATGTAATTGGCGGATGCACTTCTTCCATAGATAAATTAGAATATCTTCCTTTTTTAAAGAGGAGAGATAATATCAGCTTCTAGATGAAAATAAAATGATTCCATATACAGAAGATCTGACAGACAGAATATCTAAAGGTACAAAAGTTGATAATGTATTCTATACAGAATATGTTGAGACCAGAAAAATAATAAAAAAAAAAAAAATTATAGAACTCTAGAAGATATATAGAAGATATGTGGATGTTATTATAAAGAAAGTTTTGGATATAACATATTTTGTTAGACGATAGCTAAATGTTTTCTCCACCTAGAATATAAAATACACTTTATGAAATATTAATAACATTTTATCCCTTCTCTCTCTCCCTTCTTCCCCCCTATCTCAGTCGCATGGATCGTAATTTTACACCCGGTCCAGAAATATGTCACGGACAAAATCCCAGCGATTTGCCGCAATTAAAAATCGGCCCATACCCAACTGGACCCCATTCGATAACAGCCGCCTGTACTGGTCCCGATGATGGTCTGACCGGCATTAAAAGATCGAAACTACATCTGAGCGCCAGTTATGCGGATGACATCGATTTCATTGATACCATACAAGAGACCGACTGCTTCGAAGTACGCAAAAGTATTAACACCAATGTCCAAAGTCGCAGCAATAGTCATAAGATACAACGTTATGGCAGTAATCGACGCCTTAGCCAAGGAGCCACATCCACCACGAATGATTCGAACGCCAATAAGTCGAATGCCAACAGTAGTGGCGTGGGTGGTGGTATGCGATCGCGTAAAAATTCAAAATCAAGTATTTCAAATCTCTCACAAACTACCAAAGATACGAGTTCCGTGGCCAAGTCCACAAGTCAAAAGAACGAAGAGAATTTGAATAAGTCCACCACAATTGTGGTGAGTATGGTATCATCATCAACGGGCAAAACGTCGTCGACGACAACAACCACCGATTTGCAAACCAATGCTGCCAATGACCAAAACAACAAAAATCTCTTGAACACAACAACCACAGCAACAACAAAGACTGAAGATACCACATCACTGCTACATCAGAAAGCCAAAGAGAATGGTGAGAGTCTCAAAGCGGATGTCACAGAAACCACAACAAAAATCCTAGAGGATACCACAGAACGTTTGCTGAGGGAGGCCGTTTCTAGTCAGGCACCTGTCATCGATAGTGAAGATGTCATTGCCGGTGTTAGCAACTGGAAAATGGAAAGCGATGTGGCCTATGGCATATCGGTGTCCCTCTACGAAAACAATATGTTAACCAAAGAACCCATGGGTAATCCCATAGCGGACTGTTACGGTATGGTGGTACGCGGCAATGTCGCGGCCATGGCTCTGGCGGATGGTGTCAATTGGGGAGATGGTGCTCGTTTGGCTGCTCGCTCCGCAGTCCATGGATGTTTAGATTATTTGGATCGTGCCATATTTGGCTATTCGCAGGAATGCATGGCCACCACAACTCAAGAAGTATTCGTTAGTCTGTTGCGTAGCCTTTGGGAGGGGCATGGATGTATTTTGGAAGTGGGCGGTGCTCTTAGTACGTTAACAATAGCTGTAGTCTTACCCTTAGCCAAAGATGAAAATGTTGCTGTGAATGGTTCGGATGGAGGTGCGAGTGAGAAATATGTGGTGTGTGCCTGCAATGTGGGAGATTCCTTGGGTTATGTGTACTCCAAAAAGCACGGTGTGCGAGAATTTACTTTGGGTGAGTGGCATATCATATTTATTTATCAATAATCTATTTAATAATTACCATTGTTTTACAGCATCTCATGACATTACCTCGATGCGTGATATGCGTGATGCCTTGGGTGCTTTGGGTCCTGCTGATGGCAATAAACCGGAATTGAGCAACCTCACCTTGACCATGACCATAATTGACAGTGGTGACATTGTGTTTCTCACCTCCGATGGCATAAGTGATAATTTTGATCCCGTTGTGGGTAAATTTGCCGAAGCTTGGACTCCAGATGTAAAGCTCATGCCCTCAACACCAGGCACAGGACCACCACACACCGGAATATTGGCACCAAAAAGACAAAACAAAAGTGCTTCGGCCATATATGCCCGCCTGCATGGCTCCTCCAATCCCACAAGTCCCCAGCCACCTGTCCGTCCACCACGCACCAAAAAATCATCATCTCCAGAAAATGCCAGTTCAGGATCGCAGAGTGCACCAAGTCGCCCAAAATACATGAGATCTCACACTGTTATAGAACCAAGAAGATTGTCATCATCTGGTCTGCATCCCTCCTTGCAACAAAGGGACTATGATTACAAACCGAAAATACCTAAATCTGCAACTGGATTGCCATTGGTCACCGGACCACAACGGCATGCCTTGACTCTCTATCGTCTCGAAGATCTACTCAGTTATGGTATAAATGGTACATTTTCTCCATGTACCTCAGCGCGACGTTTGTGTCATTTGCTAATTGATTTTGTGCGCATGATTACCTCAGCTAGGCGCAAGACCCTGGAACAGAGGGAATTATTTTATAAGTTATCCACTGGACCGGATGGCATAAAACGAGAAGTGGAACTAAATCGTATGCAACATCGTGTTGCACGAAAACGCGTCATCGATAGTCCAGCTTTTTCGGCATTGCCGGGTAAATTAGATCATGCCTCGGTGGTGGCCTACATAGCCGGTAGTGGTGGTTCGGCTGCATCTCACAATGGTATACGCTCAACCGAAAACAAGGATCATCATCAACAACAAAGGACACAGGAAGTGAATACAAATGGTGCTGGTCACACAGTGACAAATGCTCCGTTGCAATCAAAGGAATTTCAGGAAACTAATTTTTAGATTTTGAAGTAATACAGGATAGATGCAAACTAAATATATAGTTTTATATGGCAAAGAATTTAATGGAAATAGTATATACAAAAACAAAACAAAGAAAAAAAATTGTGTGCTTTAAAAACATAACCTAAAAACAAAACAAGAAATTTTATTTTCTTTGTTTAAATCCTGCCCAAGAAAAACTAAAGTTTATCCCTCATTTTATGAATTATGTATTTATAGTTTAAGGCTTTGTCTATAATCCTTTTACTACATAGATTTGTAAAATTTACACACACACACACATACATACAATATGCCTCAATATTTATGCATCATTTAAATAATTCCAAATATTTTTCACCAAATAAAAATAATTGAAATCATATACAAAAAATAATTGTCCAAAAAAATACATATATACCTTATTTAAACAAAAATATTAATAATTAACATTTTATGTGCAACTGGATAAGAAAAAACAATTTATGAAAAAGACGACGAATGTAGATGAAAGCTTTTTCAAATCTAGGGATTTGTAAAAAAACATGGGATTTTTTATACCGTGAAACGTATGGAATATGTGCAAACTGTGCAAATTGTGAGTCTAATATTTAAGAAAGAAAAAAAATACTCATGCATATTTTGAATAAAAATCATTTCATAAATGCTTTTAAATGTATTTTTTATTTTAATTGTTTCTTATTTGGGAATGAGGTAAGGGGAAATCAACTAATTAAATAATTTTAAGAAGAAACTTCAAACCCAATTGGAAACTGTAAATGTTATACTGCAAATGCCAGTTCTAATTTAATTCCTTCGAAAGATATAAAGAAAGGTTAAATGTGTATCCCTATTCGTCTATAACCGTTATAAGGTCTTGTAGCTATTGAAGTCCCATATATGGTTTTCAAGCTGTGAATATCTGTAGTATTCGAATTAAATAGAATTATTTAATTCGAATTTTAAAACAATTTTAAAATGTCCTAGGGCTCGTTTATAATACACAAAGAAGGTCATATAAAATAATAAATATTCGATTTCAAAAACAGAAACAACTGGGTATTTTTAAAAATATATGAAAAAAATTCAATTCGAGGTATATACAGCCTTTATTCTGGATATTCACTACGGAGAGATCTCGCGTCTGAAAATTTTTTCGCTTTCACATTCTCGCCTTCATTCTCGGAATGAATATGGAGACGCAAAAAATGCGAGAATCGGATTCGAATTTTCGAAAATGGTGGTTGAAAAAAGATTGGTGTTGCCATATTGTAATTTAAATTGTAATATGTGCTGCCCCATTGTAATATATTTTTGTATTTTTCATTATTTTTTTAATTTGCTTCTTATTGTTTTTTAAACTTTATTACAATATAAATGTGAAATATTATGAATCCGCTGTAAAACTGCTATGTACGAGGGCAGCTCGGAATGCTCTTAGCCTAGCACAAAAAACGCGGTATTAACAGAAAAAAGTGTTTTGGAAACTTCCATCTCTGCTATGAACATATGAAAAATTTTGTTTCGGTCTGGCAATTCCTTCATATAGAAACAGGTGTTCAAAAAAGACGCATTCGCATTTTTTACAATGGAAAAATTAGAAATGCGTGCTTTTATTGTAAAAAAATTGCGGATGCGTCTTTTTTGAACACCTGTTTCTATATGAAGGAGTTGCTAGACCGAAACAAAATTTAACATGTATTCATAATATGTTGTGTAAAGGGCCCCATACACTATAAATCATGCCGTCATGCCGATGAACCCTTTTTGTATGTGTGAGATTGACTAGTGCATGGCAAACTCTTCAATCACTATTCCAAAAAATCGATTTTTGCATTTTGAAATTGCATTTTGAGTCGTAAATTCAGTTGTTGTTTTATTCCGTCACAATTTTATTAATTTTGTACACAAAATTATTTATTGACAACTTTCAAAATGAATATTATTCACCAGATTGATAGGGGTTCATTCTCAAAATCAAAACTATTTTGATTTTCTTCATGCATTGTGTGTGTCACACATACATAAATAAACTTTCAAAAAATACCCAGTAGTTCGAGTAACTGGTTATGAACTGGTTATTTTACTAATTACCTGTAGCTACCACTAGTTACCTCTTCACGCCCTAGACTGGTGAATTTAACATGGGTATGTCATTGGGGAAGTCAATTGTCCCCTGCCTGCGTTACCAGTATACAGTCATTTCGGTAGTAAAAAATTATTGTATATTTGACTAGTGTTTTATAGTCAGTTACTTGGGTAGATACAAACTATAAATCAAATGCCTAGTCACTTATGTATAGAAAATTAAATGTATAAGTTTGAAAAATTACAATTTATTCTGTACGAAAATATTTGTTATAACAGAGTATTGTATACATATATATTGTTTGATCCATCTGAAAGTCCCTAGTTCACGATTCTTTTGTCGGCCGAGTGCTTTTCAAATATGTCTCCCTGGCTAAATAGATTTATCTGAAATAGACGATTTAGAAACAGTTGAAGTTAGAAGTCCTACATAAAGCTTTTTTTGTGATAGAAAACTTACCTATAGAAAATCGGCAGTATACACCTTGAGCTTTTAGTGATGCGTTGAGGACCTCTATGGAGCGACACCTCGCTATTAAATGTTTACAGGAGTCACGTCAATGCTCCTTTAGGAATATACATAAGTATTTGAAGAATCTGTCCCTAACCCTTCGTGTGTTCTCTCAATCTGTGGGGGCTTCAGGGACGAGGATATCTATAGACAATCTGAAAAACGAAGCCTGTAGAAGGATTACTTTGGTTTATATTGTGTTACAAAAAACTTACCTCCGTTTTATCATCTGTATTTTATTCGAATATTGAAATTAATATATATTTTGCAGAAAACACATTTCTATTCAAATTTTGCTTTTAAAATTCTGAAAATTTCTAAAAATCTAAACAAAATGACAAAACAATTGTTCTGTTTTGTTTTGTCTTCATAGTCGATTCATTACCCTTTGCATTACCAGTAACTACTGAATTGGAATGATATACCTAGACAACTTTTTCAATCGACAAATAAATCCAAAAGTCAATTTTGTGTCCCTTTTTGGGGTGTAAAGTAACTAGATCACCAAGTAACTAGTTGTATAACTATATATCTGCAGAAAATTGATATTTTTTGAACAACTGGGTAACACATACTATGATAAATGTAATGTAAATGTATAGTGTATGGGGCCCTTAATGTTTTCAAAAATATAACAAATAGTCGTTGAAATATGCATTTTAAATAGTCCTCAGTATCAAAATATTATTTCCTATTACTTACTTTTACTTACTTAGCTGGCTTGTTACAGAACGGTTGTTCCATAAGCCGAGCTTAAAAAAGATTTCCAAGCGCTTCGGTCTTGTGCGCAAGTCCACCAATTTGGAAGACCACGTTCCAAGATGTTGTTTTCTACTTGGTCTTTCCATCTAATTCGTGGCCTTCCCCTTCTACGGGAACCATCAGTAGGCTCATTTTTATATGCCTTTTGAGCTGGGGCATCTTCATTCATCCGCACAACATGGCCTAGCCACCGTAGTCGCTGCAGCTCAATACGACTGACTATGTCGATGTCCGCGTATAAATTGTAGAGCTCGTGGTTCATTCGACGCCGATATTCACCGTCGACGCAGATCGGCCCGTAGATCTTTCGGAGAATTTTTCTCTCAAACACCCCAAGCGCTGCCTCATCTGCTTGCGCAAGTACCCATGCTTCTGATCCATATAATAGCACGGGTAGTATCAGCGTCTTGTAAAGTGTGAGTTTGGTCTGGCGAGAGGTGGCCTTGTTTCTAAACTGCTTACTTAGACCATAGTAGAATCTGTTGGCCATCACAATCCTTCTCCGAATTTCAAAACTGATATTATTCGTTTTATTTATGGCGGTACCAAGGTATATAAAGTCTTTAACTACCTCGAAGCTGTAGTTCTCAAGTTCCACAGTTGGTCCGAGTCTACTGGACGTCTTGCGCGTTGATACCATCAGCTTGGTCTTCTCGCCGTTTACTGCCAGACCTACCTTGGCAGACTCCTTTTCAATTTGTTCAAAGGTGGCTGTTACCGCTCGCAATGTTCGACCTATTATATCGATGTCATCGGCGTAGGCGAGTAACTGATGTTGTTTGGTGTACAGAGTGCCATTTCTGTTCACCTTTGCGTCTCGTATGACCTTTTCCAGTAGGATGTTAAAAAGATCACACGACAAACTGTCACCTTGTCTGAATCCTCGTTCGGTATTGAAGGGCTCCGATAGGTCCTTTCCTACTTTAACGGCTGACCTTGTGCCACTTAAAGTTATCCTGCATAGCCGTATTAATTTTGCAGGAATGCCGAACGCAGACATGGCTTTAAACACCTCTGAACGGATAGGGCTGTCGAAAGCGGCTTTATAGTCGACAAATAGGTGGTATGTGTCGATGTGTTTTTCGTGGGTCTTTTCCAGGATTTGGCGCAGAGTGAAAATCTGGTCAATGGTGGATTTGCCAGGTCTGAAGCCGCATTGGTATGGTCCGATGATGTCATTAACCATTGGCTTCAATCGTTCACACAGCACACTGGATAGCACTTTATATGCGATTGGAAGGAGACTTATTCCTCTATAGTTGGCACATATCGTCTTGTCTCCTTTTTTGTGCACGGAACACAGGATGCTGAGGTTCCAATCATTGGGCATGCATTCATCTAGCCAAATTGTGTTAATCAGCTGGTGCATGCTCCTGACCAGCATCTGGCCACCAGTCTTGAATAGTTCGGCTGGTAACCCATCGGCTCCTGCTGCTTTGTTGTTCTTGAGCCGATTAATTGCTTTTATGACCTCATCTTGGCTAGGTGGTATACACTCTACACCATCATCTCTTATTGGTTCTGGGGTATCTTCTTCATCGCCACTATTTGATACTAGTAGCTTTTCGAAATGCTCCTTCCAGATCCTCAACACGCTGTCTGTATCTGTCACCAGGTTTCCTTCTTCATCTCTACAGGAGGATGTGCCTGCACCAAAGCCTTCGGTTTGGTGTTTTACTCGTTGGTAAAATTTCCGGACTTCATTCTGACTCCTGTACATCTCGATTTGCTCACGCTCACGTTTTTCTTGTTCTTTCTTCTTTTTTCTGAAAACACGTTTCTCCTCTCTCCTTTTCTCCCGAACATTCTCCATCACGTTACGTGTTGCTACTGTCTGCAGGGTTGCCCTATACGCTGCGTTTTTCACATCAGTAGCATTACGACACTCCTGATCGTACCATGGGTTTCTTGGTGGTGGTTTTTGGTACCCAATTGTTCTTTTTGCTGCAGTTTGTAGGGAGTGGGCAATTCTTTGCCATTGTGCTTCTATACTATTATCGGGACAAGAAGTGCTTTCTTCGAGCAGATGGGTAAGTTGAGCGGAGTAGGCCTCGGCTACCTGTTGTGTTTGCAGCTTTTCGACGTCGAGTTTCCGTGTTGTATTAGATCGCACCTTTGCTGCAACATTAAGACGGGTGCGTACCTTGGCTGCCACAAGGTAATGGTCCGAATCGATATTCGATCCTCGGATCGATCGGACGTCTAAAACACTGGATGAATGCCTTCCGTCTATCACAACATGATCAATTTGATTTCTCGTTACTTGATCAGGAGAAAGCCAGGTGGCCTTGTGTATATCGAGATGCTTGAATCTGGTGCTGCTAACTACCATGTTTTTTGCTGCCGCGAAGTCAATCAACCTCATGCCGTTGTCGGATGTTTCTTCATGAAGGATGAATTTTCCGACGGTGGGGCCAAAGATATTTTCCCTTTCGATTTTTGCATTAAAATCTCCTAGCAGAATTTTAATGTCGTGGCCAGGGCAACGGTCATATGCTGTTTCTAGGCGCTCGTAAAATATGTCTTTGGTCTGTTCATCTTTTTCTTCGGTCGGAGCATGGGCGCAAATTAGACTGATGTAAAAGAACTTCGCTTTTATACGAATTATAGCAATTCGCTCATCTACTGGAGTGAATCTGGAGACAAGGTCTTTTATTCTCCTGTTAACCATAAATCCGCAGCCAAATTCATGTCTCGTTTCATGGCAGCTATAATACAGGGCGTAATCGTCTGATTTACTTACGCCTGTCCCTTTCCATCGCATTTCCTGTAAGGCAATAATATCGGCTTTGTACTTCTTGAGTATATCCGCCAAAGCGAACACTGCCCCTGTTCTGTACAACGTGCGCACATTCCAAGTGCAGATTCGCAGATCGTGGTCCTTTATACGTTTGCGGGGGTCGTCAACATTAGGGGGGTATGGTTTTCTTTTTCTTTGCTTTTTCATAGTAGGTGGGGTTTTCCGAGAGTGGGCAACTAACCCGACGCCTCAACCCATTTTTTTATAGTTCTTATGGGTGAACTCGCGGCACATGTTAGCTCACCATTTCATCGGGTGATTAGAATAGCTCCCCAGGTGGCACCGCGGGGAGGTCAGTGTCCACAATTGTGATGAAAGAGGGACCAAGATAAGCCTGGGCTTCGCCATGTTAAAGCCATTCAGAGCCGTTGCTTGGTATCTATCATCCCCTACGCCACCCATTATTTCCTATTAGATTTTGTGAATATATCCCTCCTTCTATAATGGTACCTGGCTTCAACCGTTTCAATTGGGAGTTAATAATTTTATATATAGAATATAAAGTCTATATTTCTTTAATATTACCAAAAATCATTGCATTATTGAACGATCTTTGAAGGCAACACATTTCAATACACTTTATGTTCGACGTCTCTGGTATTGGGTCACTTGAAATCAATGTCAATGCCTCTCACAATGTTCACTTCTTGAAAGCCATGGTCGACGTATTCAACATAGGCAGAAACAACAACACCAAAAAACAAATGAACAGCATTGCAGGCTGAACAGTATTGGACTTAGAAACACTTGGCAATGTATTGTCTTTTTACACTGCCGTATATTCTTATCGGTCGGACAAATCCCGATTGCACTCATATGCATAGTCAGTCATAAACAATGGGAAAATATAGTTTTCCCCTAAACCACCCAAAAAACAACAACAATAACAATTGCTACCCCTATGACAATAGAAAAACAAAACAAATACAAAATGCAAAACAAAAAAATCTCAAATATTTCATAGCCAACATTCACTCAATAATACCAATATTCAGTTATTTACGAAAAGTCGAACAGGGGCTACACGTAATAGAAGAAGCAGAGAACCAAGAGACAAACATAATAAAAAGACAGGCCACAATTATTAAATTGTAATATTACACATCCGTGGTAATTATGGCTCTACACTTGCAGGTGGAAAAACTTCGTGGTTTGGATAACTATAAAGCCTGGTCCATGACTGTACGTTCTTATTTGGAAACTGAAGATCTTTGGGCAGTGGTGGAACATGGACCGGATGGTAGTGAGGAGGTAGGTGGTCATATTAATTCTTTATTCTTTTAAATAAAATGCATTATGGTTTTTTCTTTGTTTATTTCCAGGATGGCCATAAAGACAGACGAGCCAAATTTATTATTCTCTGCTTGACCGATACCAAAATTTGTCAATTTATGGCCATTATACGAACATCCAAAGATTTATGGGGCTATCTGAAGAAACAGCATTCCATGATACGATAAACATTTAAAATATTAATTAAAAAATAATTCAAATTAACCGGAAAGTGATTACAAAATAAAATAATAATAAGAGGAAAAAAAACGATTTGTGTTGAAAACTTTATTTTGAACATGTGAAAAATACAATACAGTTGAATTTTAAAAATAAAATAATAATTTTCAAATTCAAAATAACATGCATATATGCGTATATGCTATAATGCATATAGGATTCATATATTGGAGCTATATCAAATCTATAAAAAATATATTCTGGACATCAATTCACCGTAAATGTTTTCGCTCTTCCCTTTAAAGTTATTCTGAACCAGAACTCGCAGCGAGTTTTTTTCGATTTTCACTTTCCCCTTACTGTGAATCAAGTTCGAAGGCGAAAAAATCCGCTTTGGGGAGAAATTAGTTATTCTGGATTACAGGGAGTGGGAGACATTTTGTGCGAAATTTTTGGTTAAAAAATTTCAAGGGAGATGATTACAAAAATAGAAGTATTAATATTTTATGGAAAATATCTACACAATTTTTATTCCCTGACGATATTGAATATTAAATGGTTGTATGCATAATTTTAATAACAAATAAAATGTAATTGGACATCGTATTGATAACCATGCATGCTCGACCAAATATTGCCACGAAATATATAAAGGCAATAAGGCATATTTAAGCCGATTTTGATGGAATTTGCAGGCGAAATAAATACATTTTGTGTGAGGATCTGATCTCCATAAAAAAATATTCAAAATGATGGAAAAACCACATAGCCAAATTTGCCTGATGAGCAAAAATTATAGAAGATAATATAAGATAACAATAATATAGTTACAAACAAATATTTTTTCTTTCAAATTTATCGTGTGCATGATTTTGAAATAGTATTTTCATATGAACTATTTACTATTTTTAAACTATTATTTATTTTTAAATTTTGATTTTTCACCAGAATAGTAAAAAACATGCATAATAGTACATTTACATTGTACCGGATTAAGTTAACCCAGTGGGTTTTAATTGTCAATTCCATTACATATTTGTCAAATAAATACTCATAAAGTAGGTTAATCCTGCAAGAAGTTCTAATGTACACGTCGTTTATACTGCCTTCGGAAATATGACTAATCCTAAATGTTTGTATATGTAGTCATATTTTATTGAAAAATTCCATTTTTACATCTCAAGCATCCATCAATTTCAACGAAGGGACGGAAGTGGTTTATATTTATTTGTTCAATACATATTTTTTTCTTTATATTCACTCAATTTTTACCTTGCCCTTTTTTCATTTCCTATAATATATATATTGAACATTTTCAAGTGCGGCTAAAAGGTCATTGGTTTTGTATTAGGGTTACTAAAAAAGAAAGAGTCATACTTCTAATATTATATTATATTATAAATGGTGCAAATTTAAAATTAATGTAATGCAATTTTTATTCTTCAATTGCCGTCAGCGCATTGGCATTGTACATATCAAATATTTTGAAACTACATAAATAATGGAGAAAATGATAGGACATTTCTAATATTCATTTAATACCTAATATTAATTCAATCCAATACCCCTTTTGCCTGATATATGTTTTTTCAGCAGAATCTATTGTTTTTCCTTCTTTTTTTATTCATTTTTTTCTTGTTCCCCACAGATTTATAATCAATATTTTTGTTGCCTTTTTGTGGCTGCACATAAGTGTCCCAACGTTTTGAAAATGTATCGATTGATTTATGAAAAACTCAATGCATTGCAAAATATAAGCTTGAACTAACAACACGTCCATAACTGAGCCAAGAGGAGGTAATACAAAACGAAATAATTTAAAAATTAAATAGAAAAATTAACAGCTAATTTAAAAAAAAAATAAATAAAAAACTTTTAAACTTGTTGTAATCAAGAATATATTAAATTAAATGTTGAGTGAAATTCAATTTGTTTATTATTGTTTTTTATCAATTATTCTAGTTTACAACTTGTCTCCCGCTACATAATGACTCTGGTATTAACTGTCGAAAAGCTCATGGGCTCAGAAAATTATAAAGGTTGGTCTATGACCTTGGAGGCTTACCTAGAGATGGAAGAAATCTGGGAAGTTGTGGAAAAGGGACCAGATAGCTCAGACGAAGTATGCTGGTTTTTTGTTTTATTTTTTTGTTTCTTAAAAGCAATTAATTGAAATCTATTTACAGGACTTTCATCGTGATAGACGTGCAAAATTTATCATCTGCTGTTTGGTAGAGACAAAACTATTTAAAATCATGCCAAATTTACGAACATCCAATGATGTTTGGTTCTATTTAAAGGCGAAATATTCAGGGGAAGCGACCTGATAAATGTGAAAATCAACTTATTTTTAATATAAAATCAATTTATTTTAAATTGATATCAAGAAATGAAGTAATGTTCATTATTTCAGTGCCCAAATATAATAAAATGATTCACAAATAAATGACTTGTTTTGATTAAAATAAGAATATCTAAAAACCACATTGTGGTTAAATTTGCAAAAAAAAAAAGATAATAATTTCACTGCTCAACATTACCTTCTTCCATTTGTTCATGTGTCTGCCACAGTATTTTAAAATATCTGATTTCTTATATTCTCAACTTCTATATTCGCCTCCGCTTCATTTATGATGACGGCAGATCAACCCATGCTACAAAAAAGTATAAAATGCTCTCCTACACTTCAAAGAGGCTCTACAAATACCGACTATTTGTGACAATCACAGAACATCCCGTTACAAAAAACGTAATTCATATCTCAAAAACAAAAGCTGTTTGTAATTTGTTTATTTTGTTGACCACTTCTTAAACATACCCCTATATGTATATATACTTCCAGTTTCTATAGCGATGTTAGTATGAAGGCGTATTTTCTAAATGTATATAAGAGTCCGCTCTTCTCTTCAGTATAAATATACATATGTATATGTTCATTTCTATTCTCATTTCAATTAATTAATACAAAATAAATGCTATTAAAATAATTTTATAAATGCTTCCACAATTATTTTAATTTCCAAAGTCATCTTATAAAAATACTTAATAGATACATTGAATATAGATACATTAAAACACTAATATTGCAAGCTACGTTTAGTGCAGATATCATCCAAGATTTGTCGCAGCTCCTCATCTTCAAAACGTCCCTCTAGGGAGGGTATCAAGGCTTTGGCTTCTTCGGGAGCTTCAGGACATAAATTACCCAATGCGGCCAATTCAAATTTATGTAATTTCTTTTGCATTAATAAACTAAAATAACACAATTAATTTTATATAGTCTGTAATCAAATTTTATCGACATACCTTCTAACAGCGGCAATTGTTTCTTTGTTTTTGAATTTTCGAAAACTATCTGTATAGGCATAGGTCTTCATAAATACTTCGGAAAATTCTTGTTCTTCATCGGCCGATTCATTTTGTCGTTTGCGATGGTCTAACAACATGTGGACTTCTGATATTAAAAGTGTCTCGGCATTTTCAAATTCTTATAGAAAGAGAAAATATGCAAAATTAATTATTAATCACAATTTTAAATATGCCATGAAATCGTAAAACAAGCGCCTTTTTTTTAATAGAATTAGAAAATAATCATGTTTTTAAAAATAAATTAATTTGGTTTATTTATGTGCCCATGTTCTATAAGAAAATCATATATTTGTCTTGTTTTGTTCACGTCAATTTTGATGAGACGTCTAGCATCTGCCAAACGTATGTGACCGACTTTGGCATTTTCGGTTATAAGTATGTTCTTATAATCCAAATATGATTGTGGAACTATGCGGGCCACACTACACAGTTGGCGTTCATCTTCATTTAATTTGGCAAAACCAGGTAAACCTAACAAAAATAATTACAAGAAATTAGTAATAGTTCTTGTCTTAATATAGCACAAAATTATCCTACCAAATACATCCATTGGACCAGCCTTTTTCCGTGGTAGAGGATTTACAGTGGGTGTTAAGAAATAAGATCCAATAGCTTCATTAAATATAGGTGTCTCTGATGGTATTAATTTTCTCCAATCATATTGATGATATTGTCGTTCATTCCTTAAACGTTCACGTTGTTCGTGCAAGCGTTTCTTTTTCAATTTGAAATATAACGAACCTCCAACCATGGTTCGAACTCCATTTTGTCGCAACTCATAAAGGCTAAATGGAAGAAATTTAATATTTCTACATTTTAAATATATTTCTATTTCACAACATACCGAAATATTGCCTTCTGTACATCACTAAAATATTTCAGGCCCTCCATTAGTAGATCAAATTCCATGGGTTTGCACAGCTGCATAAAGGCAAGAAAACGTTTGCAGTTTGCTTCGGAACGTAGAGGCTCGGCATACTTAGTAATCCAGCCCATTGTCCGATTGGTCATTATGAGACCATGATCACGCATTACTTTATAACGACGTTGTCGTTCTCTATTAAAAATCAATTAAAAAATTACTTTAAATCTAATTTCGTAAATACACTGCTAAACTTACTGTAAACGATGATTATATGCCTGAACTAAAGCATATTTTAATTCATCCAAACACTGTTCAGTACATTCATCCTTTACCTCATCGTCCAAGGTGTCTATAATGCGTTCCTCTTCCTCCTGTATGGCGGTTAGAAAACTTTCCGCTGTCACATCATATGGTGTATCAAAATCTCCACGAGCACAACGATATCCTGCCATTAATTTGAACTGCATCGATGTAATATCATCATGACGCGGTGGATCAACAGATCTCATTTTTACCACATACGGGGTGTGTTGCGGTGTATAGGCCTCTGAGGCATGCTGTAAGCCTAACAACTTTTCAAACACACCACCAAAATAATTGTCATGATAATGTTGTCGACATGCGGCAGCATCGTGGCGATATTGCAATGCCTTAGCCACAGCATCCCAATTTCCATAGCCCTGTGTCTCCAACGTCTGCAATAGAATCCGTTCGTCACGTGCTGTCCATGTTCCTGGTCCCGGAAATATTTGTATATCATCTTTGACTATAACGTACGCATGGTTGTTTTTATGTTGTCGAATTTCACGACCTTTGGCAAAACACTGCAGGCACAATTCCTCATCACAGTCGGCGCAACGTATAAATGGTTCCTGAAGTTTGGTGCGACATGTGGCACATTGTGATATATCTTCCGAACCACTGTGCGACTTTTCAGCCAATTCTTGCTGTTGTTCCAGATATTGTTGTAATTGTTGTGGGTCATATGTGGCCACGGTGTAACGTGTGTTTTCATTCACCAAGGCATTAATTACTTTTGCTTTACACTTTTTCTTTCGCTTATGCGGCGAAGCTCCTGCTGGAAATAAATTTCATTACATTGCATTTAAGTTGTCCCGCATCGCATCGCGAAATACTTGGGACTTGTCACGACATTGATTTCGATTTGACACACACAAAATAAAAAAGGCGCTTGTTTTTCTTTACTGAATATTGAACCTAATTTCTTACCTTTGGGAAACTGCAAATCGGCAGCGTCTTCCTCCACCATATCAACTGGATTCATGAATGACATTTTGTTGTTTTTTATTTATATTTTTTACTTAAAATTATATATATTTTTTTAATTTTTCTAGAGTTTTGTGCGGAAAGTCGGTTGCCGCTTTGGCTTCTGCTAGAGTTGTCCGCAACGAACTAGTTTATTGGAACTATTCCGAGGAACGAACGGAACTAGTTACAGTTCTTTAATTAATATAATTCCTTTCTCTGATCCAGTTCCTTTTTTGAACTATTTGAAGCAAAGGAACTGTATGGAGCAAAGGAAAAAATAAAAGAGAGAGATTCAAAAGAACAGTGGGAAGCCTCCAAGACTCCAGCCTTCATAAAATTCGCTTGTTAATCGTCGTTCTGCCAAGACTCAAGCGACGTCGTACGCAAACCTTCGCCAACAAATGGTCTGTTCAAGTACTTTTTATACCCTCCACCATAGTATGGAGGGCATATTAATTTTGTCATTCCGTTTGTAACTCATTGAAATATTCATTTCCGACCCTATAAAGTATATATATTCTTGATCAGGGTAAAATTCTAAGACGATCTAGCCATGTCCGTCCGTCTGTTGTAATCACGCTATCTTCTGAAGGAATTGAGATAGGGTGCTGAAATTTTGCATAGGGTTGTCTTTTGTCTGTAGGCAGGTCAAGTTCGAAGATGGGATATATCGGTCCACGTTTAGGCATAGCTCCCATATAAGGGTACCCCCCCAATTTTCGGTATTTTGGGGTTCTTGAGCGCTTTTTTCAAGCGAATTTGTAGTAAATGTATCCACAAAAAATTATAAATATAGGTCCACTTTTTCTTGTAGCCCCCATATAACGGTACCTTCTAATTTTCAGTATTTTTTGGGTTTTTATCGTATTTTTCACCGAATTGGCTGTAATTTAGTATTTTGAGTTCTTAGCAGGTACCAAATCTCTCCACAAAAAATTTAAATATAGGTCAATTTTTTCGGATATCCCCCATATAAGGGTACCCCCCAATTTCGGTATTTTGGGGTTCTTGAGCGCGCTTTTCAACCGAATTCGCTGCAATTTTGTACATTAAATTAAAATAAAAATAAAAAATAAATAAATAAAATAAAAATAAATTAAATAAAAACGACGACCGAAAAAATTGAAAAGCGTTCCACCTGCTAACGAATGGGAGGAGAAGACAAAATGGCCGATAAAGATGAACTCAAAATGGTATAACCGAAAGTTTACGAATGAGGTTTAGGCAAATTATGATTAGGGATAAGTAAATCGACTTTTTGTATTGAAAAGTCTAATGCCATGTACAGACGAGCCTTGTTCCCTCTCTCATTCGTGGTTCGACTCTTAATTATGAAGTAATTACATAGTTCAAAGGAACTACATTAAGGAACTAGTTCCTCTTTAAAAAAGAAAGGAGAATGATCGATCCGCTACGTGGCAACAATTTAGGGATATGTAGATCGATTACATTAGGGAGCTACAGACACAAATGAGAGTTAAAATGGAGAAAGAGATATGGGGTATGTTCAGTGCAATTGGGTTTAAAGGAATTTGATAAATGCTGTGTTCCATAACACATCATGGCTTCATGTATTACAACGTTACCTATAATCCGACGGGGCGTATAGAAAAATTCAACTTCCCCGCTTTTGCCAAATTTTGTGTACGGCCGTATTACCCAAATACGCCGAATCCATATCTTCAAGCGATTAATACAATCCGCAAAACAAAGTTGAAAATTTATTAAATTAATCCAAATATTTTATGTTCACATTCGAAATTTCATTTTTTCAGAATGTTTTGTTTTTATTTTCAACAAAAGAAAAAAAAACAAAAAATACGTTCTGTCAAAGTTGAAATTTTTCAACTTGAAATTTTGTACGCTCGACGTATTTCGGTAACATTCATATAAATACATGTGTTCTACTTTTGTGGTGAAAAACGTCGAACGAGCTAGTTGAATTTTAGGTAAGGCTGTTACAAGATTTTATACACAAAAAACTAACAAAAAAACTTTAAATCGGTATTTAAAAAATTATTTATTATTTAAAAAAATCTGAAACAGCTAATTAAAAATGAAAGAAAATACTTATTATAATTCTAAGAGCATTTCGTTGCCGTACTTTTCATACATATTTAAAATTTAAGAACGAAGTCCACACTTCCCGAGATATGGGCCTCTGAAATTTCGGAATTCATTTGATCATAACTACGTCATTTATGTACCGACGTGGTTATTTAATAAAACTTTTCGATCGCGTTGACGAGTTTTCCATCTGTCCATAGGAGAAAGTCTTAAATCCCTGTTCGAGGGTCGGCTATCTAAGGAACATTTTGATATAAAACTAACTCTTAATCACGTAACCAAATTTTCCACCTGTGCATAAAGTCTTAAACCCCGCCCGAAGGCTGGCTACTAAAAAAAAAATATTTTATTTATTTTTGTATGTATTAGCCGAATTTTCCACAAATTTTCCACATGTTCATCGAAGGCCGTTTATTTTGGATAAATGTTTATTAACACCAATTTAAGTAAAAATATAATTTATACGCTTTACAACCATACCAATGTTACCTTCATCGGACCATAAATGACGAAGTTATGAGCATAGGAATTTCGGATATTCAGAGGAAATAATGGATTTCCCCTATATATTTTCGTGATCAGGGAGACTATAATAATTATGTTTATAAAAGATATAGGTACTAATAATTATCGTAAATACAAAGACGATAATCTATAACAAATCTTATGAAATTCTACTATATGCAAATATAGTTACTTCTACTTCATATACCCTATCTATAAGAAAAGGATAGGAATCTAGGTCTTTCATCTAAATATACTAATGGAGAGTTTTTAAATTATGAAGGTTTCCTACTCATAATTATCTTTATCTATAGAATATATTCCAAATACGAAAAGGATTTCCGCTATTTGAAATATATGGAAGTGGCGACATCTAATACATGTTTTGTTTGTAATATAGTTATTTTTAAGTAAAGTAAGTTCAAGAACAATTATTTATCATTTTCCAATGAATGGACATATTTAAGATTCCATAAAATATATTTAAGTTTCATAGTGAAATTCAAAATTGTCGTATATTGGATGACAAAGCACAAAACGTCCCAATATAACATAAATTAGTTGGAATGCGTCTTCATTTGGTTTGCGGCTGCATGTAATTATTTGCATGAATTTTCTTTTTAATCTGGAATCAACTCTCAAACCCAAATAATTTTAGTTTTCCTTTTTATAATTAAAGCCTGAAAAGAATCAGCAAACGAAAATAAAACTGTATTTTTAGTAAGATTTTCATTGAATTTTATTCCATGTATTTATCGTATTTATATATATTTATAATTTACTCTGTAAGAAAATGTTTATCATCCAGTACGAAAACTATTACCCTTGTTGTTTTGCTGTAAACTATTTATTGATCTTGAGTTTCAGCGGGACGTTTGTCCTCATCACTGCCGGTCGATTCGGGATCATCCTCCAAAGTAACAACACTAGTTCCCATCTTCTTAGCCATATCCAGATAGTGAAGAGTCTCAGCATCATCGAGAATCTTGAATGGTTGGTTGCGGCCGACAATAGCCACAGATATATTGAGGAGTGAACTGTTTTCCTTACCCGACACATCTTCATTGGGCAATGAACCACGTATAGCCTGTATACCATGGCAGATAAGTTCATCCTTGGAACATTCAGCAAAACTGTTGATATGACGTTCCAAGTAGGTGCGGGCACTCTGTGAGCGAGAACCAATAGACATGGCTTTGCAGTTGAAGAAGTTTGCAGATGGAACGACTTGATATATATGGGGTCCCATCTCATCATAGCCAGCTACCAGCAGACCAACGCCATATGGCCGGCGATCGTAGCGCTGTGTACAAGTTTGCATTTTGTTACCAAGATATGAGATCAACCTCGATATTGGGTAGGTGGTATCATAGGAATATTTGTAGTTGAGACACTCGGTACGCAAGTGACGGCTCAAGACGCGAGCATCGGCAGTAATTCCCGAAATTGATATACCCAAATGCTCATCGATTGGTATGATTTTCCTCTGGCATGATGAGAGTTCGGAAGCGGCTCTGCTCAATGCCACCAAGACGGCGTAGTCTTTATTCTTGAGACCAACTGTGGCCGATCCAAGTTTTACCGCCTCCATTGCATACTCCACTTGGTGAAGACGTCCTTGGGGACTCCAAACGGTAACATCGCTGTCGTATTGATTCCGGAACATTGTGTTTTATGGCGGTGCGAATGAACAAACTTTACAAAATGATTTTCCGATTTTGCTTATAGCGGAATGACAAACAAATTTTTGCAAGTCAACCTATTGTGAATTGCCGACTGACAGCTGAAGTGTGTTGTGTGTGTACATTCACAATATACATACGCGCCATGTGACAGTTAGCCTGTAAACAAAAGAAACGCATTTGACAGAAATAAACTGGTTGAAGGGCTGGGGCACACTGCTATTGGCCAATGTCTTTAAATGTTTCCATATTGCCCGATATCGAAGCTATAGAAAATTTACCACAATATTGTAATTATCACAGATTTCTTCTGGTGGAAGAATTGTTGCTGGTGGATGATTATTCTTCCTTGCATTACGGTAAATGTCGTTTGATCGGAAGGGTATTTGCCGCACCGAATGAAATCTATCTGGAAAACATTGAGATTCCCAATATTCCAGAGTAAGTTAAACTGCCACTTAACTGGAACAGGCATTTCCTAAATCATTGTTCTTTTTTAGAGAGTGCGCCCTAACTGAGGGGACATTGCAAATACGTTTACATGCAACAGCTGCATCTGCAAGCATATTTCCCACTCTGGAACATGGCAAATATTTTGAAATTTTAGGAGAAGTCATATTGCTTTCCAATTCTAATAATCCAGATAGAGAAAATCTAACGTCCAGAGGAGTGGTAGAACGTATGCAATCCCCCTTAAAACCGGAAAACAAGCAAAATTTAATGCAATATTTCAAAAAACATTACAAGCCTGCAGTAAACGTTTGGTTCGTCTCTCAAATTAATGAAGCACCTGAATTAATATCACGTAATTTGGAAGTGCGTATGTTGGAGTCAATCAGCCTTCAGTAAGCAAAAAACATAAAAACCCCCAAAAAAGGAAGTGAAGACAATGACTCAGCAATTTATTGAATCAAATTCAAAAGTACCTCAATTTTTCGGCTTTTCTCAAATTTTCAATGAATACGATGATCATAATTTGTTAATAAATTCTATACAAGAGGACTTTGATAAGTGGCAAGAAGAAAATTGGTTAAAGTACTGGAACAAAGAAGGTGAACATATCGTTCTCGAAGCGTGGAATGAAAAGTACAAAGATTATTTAAAGGAAGGAGAAGAACACAATGATAAAAAAGATCTACAATTGGAAACTACAAAAGAAGATATTATAGAAGAGTCCGGCGAAAGTAAAACCGAAATTATATCAACTGATAATGAAGTAGCACAAGAAGAATATTCCCAGAGCTGGAATGAATTGTGGGAACAACATAGAGAAGAAATTTACTTCGAACAGTATTTACTCTACACAACAATACTTTATAATTATTTTTTGGAATTGAAAAATTCCCTAGAACAAATATTGCCTATTGAGGAAGCAATTGAAGAGGAAGAGGAGGAAGAAGACAATAACAAATACTCATTGAATGAGTATAACAATTTGTCAGAAGAATTGGAACAATTAAAACTTCTTGGTTTACCAACAGCATTTGGTGGACGACCACAAAATTCATCTAAAAAAGCCAAAAAACTACACAAAAGCCTTCATTTCAGTGATTTCTTTTCGGAATCAGATATTGATAACACTTCAAGTGAATCGGAAATGGATGACATTTCAACTAGCACTTTGCCACCTCTGCAAGAGGAGGAAACCGATGCAGTTTCACTACACGCTACAGAGAACAATGCCATTAGAAAAGCAACACAAAAAACCCAGAAGAAAAAGAAAAATCGTAAATTAAAAAATATCCCCTCTTTCCTAATAGAAGAAAAAGGCATGCTAAAATATTGGCGCAAACGTTTCAGTCTATTTTCCCGTTTCGATGAAGGTATTCGGCTAGATCGTGAAAGTTGGTTCTCTGTAACTCCCGAAAAAGTCGCCAAACATTTGGCCGAACGACTTCAAACCAGTATTTTGGTTGATGGATTTTGTGGCAGTGGTGGAAATGCCATACAATTTGCTTTAACATGTGATCGAGTAATAGCCATCGATATTGATCCTCTCAAGTTGGAAATGGCCAAACACAATGCCAAAATTTACAATGTATCGCACAAAATTGAATTTATTTGTGGTGACTTTCTACAATTGGCTAACACGGGTAAGTTAAAGGGCGACATCGTGTTTTTAAGTCCTCCCTGGGGTGGACCGAAATATAAAAATAAAAAAGACTATGACATTGAAAAGTATCTACTACCGGTCAAAGCCTCAGAATTGGTTGATGCTGCACGTCATATATCGACAAATGTGGCATTATTTTTACCTCGCAATTCCAATTTAAAGCAGATTATTAAATTGGCTGGTATTGGAAATCGTTGTGAAATTGAGCATAGTTATTTAGATTCTCGATTAGTAGCCATAACGGCGCTGTATGGAGAAGATATTTTAAAAAATAAATCTTCTGAAACATAGTTTTTAGTCATAAATATTTTCAAACTTTTGACCAAATAAAATAAAGTTATTTTTTATATAAAGATTATCGAATCAATCACTTGATTCGAAAAAAATACATATGAACTTTTATTTTTTAATTTGTAATCATCTATATGTAAATCTAAAAAAAACGAACAAAAACACAACATGATAATAATGGTTAACAGATTGGATTTTGTGCATTTATTTATTTTCCAAAATCCAATTGACAGCCTCGGAAAAGTTCTCGACCAAAACTGTGGGTGGTGGCTCTGCCAAAACATCCGGTAAATACTTGCCCGTTTTCACTTGTATGCCTTTGAGGCCCACTTTCATAGCACCAACAATATCGTCTTTCGTATCCTTAAATTGAAATACTCAGTTTAAGTATTGGGATCCAAAGAAATTCCGTAATTTACATACATCACCGATCATAACACAATCTTCTATTGCAATATCCGTGCCATCTATGGCACTCTTAAAGAAATATTCATTTGGTTTGCCAATTAAAATCGATTTGGTTCCACTTGAGTATTCAAGGCCCTTCACAAAACATCCAGGACCTAATGCTAAACCATCTTTACGTTTGTAATATTTACCCTCGTGTATGGCAATTAGTTTGTGGGTTTTATTGGCTAGCAAAATACTAAAATAGAATTGGTATTAATATTAAAATTTATGAATTAATTCATTACATACTTAAATGCCTTATTTAGATTTTCATAGTGAAATTCATCTGGTGCCAGACCAACCACCACCGAATCGAATGGTTTCTCATCGTCATTAGCTGGGAAATCTGTACGAGCATCTTTACAAACCAAGTAATAAGGATTTAGTTGTTCCTTTTTCACATAATCCACCGCAGCACTCAATGAGCTGTGAATTTCATCCTTTTCCAATTGGAAACCAATGGTCAATAGACGTTGCAATAAAGTTTGTCGGGACTCCTTAGTTGTGTTTGTTACAAATCTTATAAAAATACCAGATTCTCGTAATCTAAAAGATAATTTTTTGTTAAGATCTTAGTTTAGTTCATCGTTGATGTCGTCATTAAGTAACCTTTTGAGTGCATTGACAGCATCCGGTGTGGGTTGATCTTCGACATGCAAAGTTCCACTTAAATCAATTAAAGCTGCTTTAATTGGCATACCGGCGACAATTGGGTATTTGTTCCAGGTACTTTTAAAACGACAATGAATAGTGTTGCTCTTTCGTCCGGACACCAGCAAACAGTATTTTGGTATAAACATTATTGTGAATGAATAAGGGTTGCAGAATGTTTTAGCACCACACAATACATATTGTGAATTTGTTTATGCTATTGTGAATATTAGCCATGTTAACCCCAAAACATCACCGTGGGCTTTGTTTGGATTTTTCGAAAAATACTAAATTCTAAACAAAATTTTTAGGTTGTAAACCTAATTTTTAAAGACAAATTTGTTTATATATTCCTCAAACCAACTTCAAACAAAATATTTTGGCAGCCGAAAATTAAAATAGATGACAAAAAGAAAGAATATATTTGTAATAAATAGTAATAGTATGTGAATAAAAGTAATAAATAGTATGTGTATATATATAAAATTAAAATGTCGTTAAGTACGATCAGGCTACATTTTCCGAAGCGAATAATCTTGGGATTTTTATATTAGGAACATAGCAAAGAAGTAGACCTATGTCGACTACGTATTCAAGGATATTTGGCAACCAAAATGCCACAAGAAATAGTAAATTTCCACTTTTGAAGCAAAATTTCGTAGAATAAAAAAAGTAAAAGGTGCGTTATATTGTGGGCACTTAGATGCATAGAACCAAAAATATGAAATTACAGCCAATCAGGTTTCAAAACGTGTCGTGTTTTTAAAAATATAGATGCCAATGATGACAGATTATAGAAATAGATGGCAGATAAGGGACATAGATGATAGCCAATTAAAATAGATGATTCTCCTCTAAAAAAGTGGACGTATTGTCACCTTTCGAAAAAGGACTTCAGCTTCCATTATTGATAAATACACTTCGGACTTAAACAAGTTAAAACCAGTAAGGAAAGTAGTAAAGTCGGACTGAGCCGACTATATGATACCCTTCACCACTTTGGGTATATTCGAAAAGACGTCGTCTTTTTGAAGGAATTTTGGCATGAAATTGAACGAACTTAAATATGTGATTTTTATGTCTTTCTGGAAACTATGCTAAATTTCATTTCATTTGGTCAAGTTTAGTCGTTTGCGCACAGTGGCACAGTAAATCGATTTAAAGCAAACTTGACACACGCTATTCGGTATGCGGGACGTTTTAAAATTTTATCTCAATCAGACACCTATTGATTATTTGGTGTACAATTAACATAAATAAGTCAAAATTATATATGGAAGCTACCATATATCTAAATCTGAACCGATTTTTATGAAACTTAGCACACATCATTCTAGACTTAATTTAGTACGCTATACCAAAATTCATGCCAATCAAAATATTAGCTGGGACTTTGATGCACCATTTACCTAAAATCGGACGAAACTATATATGGAAGCTATATCTAAATCTAAACCGATTTTCACGAAACTTAGCACACGTCATTCTAAACTTAATTCAATACGCTATTCCAAAATTCGTGCAAATCAAATGATTTTCAGGGGCTTTGGTGCACCATTTACCTAAAATCGGGCGCAACTATATATGGGAGCTATATCTAAATCTGAACCGATTTTTATGAAACTTAGCACACATCTTTCTAGACCTAATTCAATAGGCTATTCCAAAATTCGTGCAAATCAAATGATTTTCAGGGGCTTTGGTGCACCATTTACCTAAAATCGGGCGAAACTATATATGGGAGCTAAATCTGAACCGATTTTCACGAAACTTAGCAAACATCATTCTAGACCTAATTCAACACGCTATACCAAATTTCGTGCAAATCGAAAGATATAAAGGGACTTTGGTACACCATTTACCTAAAATCGGGTGAAACTATATATGGGAGCTATATCTAAATCTGAACCGATTTTCACGAAACTAAGCACACGTCATTCTAGACTTAATTTAATAAGCTTTGCCAAAATTCGTGCAAATCAAATGATTTTCTGGGGCTTTGGTGCACCATTTACCTAAAATCGGGCGAAACTATATATGGGAGCTATATCTAAATCTGAACCGATTTTCATGAAACTCAGCACACATCATTCTAGACCTAATTTAGTAGGCTATACCAAATTTCGTGCCAATCGAATGATATATAGGGGCCGTTTACATTAAATCGGACGAAATTATATATGGGAGCTATATCTAAATCTGAACCGATTTTCTCCAATTTCAATAGGGTTCGTCCTTGGGCCAAATTAGTGACATGTGCTAAATTTCATCCAAATCGGATCATTAATGCGACCTGTACTTTGTTCACAAAAATACATGGAGGGACAGACGGACGGACAGACGAACATGCATAAATCGACTCAGAAAGTGATTCTTTGCATATTCTCAAAACGAACCACGGGTCTAAATCGATTATTTTTGCCTGTTACAAACATATGCACAAAGACATAATACCCTGTACCACAGTGTGGTGAAGGGTATAAACATATCAGCCTTGTTTGTTAAAAACTAAATGAAGCTATAATGAATTTTATATATAAATGTTATTTTTTACTTGAAGGTATGAGGTTATATACAAATATACCAAAATTAAAGACATATTTAAAAAATTTAATAATTTAATTTTAAAATATAACATAAACATACCGAACATTTCCATTCCTTAATAAAAATAATAAATATTAATAATCCACTTTATATAGTTCACTTTTGATGTTTCTTTTATATCCTCATTTGGTCCATTGGGCCTTTGGTGGACTCAATAGTTGGTTATGCATATAATTTATTAATCTTAATTCAATAATTAAATTAATAAAATCGTAGCAAAAACAGTTTCTAGAGTTCAGGGCAAATCTTTGGATAGTAAAGCGATCTAAGATATGAGTCAATATACCAAATTAGCAAGCCATATACGAAAGAATGTTTCATCAAGCATTGGTTTTTGTTTCCACCCATAAAGAAAAAAATTAAACCAATGCTCGAAAAGTTTGAATTATTCAGTTTTCGAGATATTACTTCAACTTTCCATAACCTGTAAAAAATTAAATATGCTACCATTTTAAAAATCTTATCTTTTAATCATTTTAAACATTGTGAAATATTCTTTGTATGGAAATGCAAATCGACATTTAATTGTGTATAACTATAATAACAATTTCCACCTGTTTGATTTCTTATGTAAAACATACTTAATGATTGTCTAATCTATGTACCACAAGATTAACAACCATATCTTAATAACATTCCATGCATATGTATGAATAACAAATCCTGTTGCTTTATAACTTGTAAGCTCTTTAGATTTTTCCATGTAATCCCAACTTGGCTAGAATGCTCTGAGAAAAGACGGAAAGAAACATTGGCAATTAAAATCCATAACATCATCATTCCAAAGGACTAAATGTATTTAATAATCCAAAAGCTGTTGAGCTTAGTAACCTTTGGTCATGTACATGCATGACATTTAGCCAAACAACTGTAACCATGCAAAAGAATCACAGTCTAGAATTGTGTGTACAATGTCCGTTTCTCGTTGTCCTTCTCTCTCCTCCGCCACACATAGACCGCCAATGAATAGAACATCTCAATTGGGAAGCAAAAAGGAAGCAAATGAACATCACAGAAAGAGAAAATTAAGCGTTCGTTTTGGCAAATGACAGAATAGATTACACACATCCTCGCATACACATGGGACGAGAGAATTGCAGCTTGATGATGCTACAGAAGCATAGAATGTGTACTGGACAAAATGGTTTATAAGTTTTTGCGTTGGTTGGTCAACAGTTTTAATATCCCTTTTTCCTAGCTTTTTTCTCCAGCCATCAGTTTGTGCAGCAAAAATGATAATATTTTTGTTCTCTTGGTGGAGGACGTGGTGCAAGCACCTTTTGAAAAGGACTTAATCCAATTACGAAAGATTAAAAAGTTTTGTTTTGGTCATCATTAAATTAGAAACATTTTTTTTTTTTGTGTCTGGCTGGCTAGTTAACGAAGTGACCATAACTGTTTTTTTTGTAATTTTTTTAATGAGATTTGCTAGAATAAAAAAAAATAAATTAATTTATTGTATTACTATACAATTTGAAATATAGTATTTAAATTATCCTCATGTATATGTGGAGTGTATTATCGATTTCATTAGACGAATCACACATTATACATACTCCTATGTGTACCACTCTAAAGGCTAAGCCAAACTGATAATGCACTCAGCAAGGGAACTAGTTCTAGTGATAAGCAGACAGTATAATTGAATTTATATTTTCAATGAAATCAGAAGCGGTTTAACATCTAATCAGTGCACTTCTCAAACAGATCGTATTGATCTGAACCGCTTTTAACCAGACGGAGCTTACGGAAAAACATTCCGGACCGTGTTGTCTCTCGAAGAGGCGATTGACAACCGAGATCTTCTAAATGAACACATTGTGACTTTTTTAAGGGCCCAGTGTAAATTCCAGACTTTAAAGATAAACTTCGTGGGACTATCGAAAACGAAGGACACACATTGAATTTTGATTATGCAAAATTTAATGAACTTTTACATTTTATCAAAAATAATAAAAAAAATTATCTCAAAAATTTAAATAATTAGAAAAATAATAATAATTGTAAATAAAATAGAACTATTTTTAACCACCATTGTTTTGTTTTCTTATATAAATCATTGATATGACCCCTATTCAACCACATTCAGTATTTTGAATTTGTTAATTATTATTTCAAATAATTTCCAATTATTAATTTTTTTATTATTATTTTCCTCCAATAATAACCAAAACTACATAAGCATTTGCTTATAATTTAAACTTTTTTTCACTGTGAAATATTCATAAATTTCAAGGAGGAATAAAAACTCGACGAAAAAAATAATAAAACCCCAAACAATTGGCATAATACAATTAGGCAAAAATAGCCAAACACTAGCAACAACAATTGCACTTTTTAATTAAAAGCAAATTACGCGGATAAAAACGTACAAAAATATAATTGGCAGTAGCAGCAACGGCAGTAGCAATCAGAGGAAACGTTAGAAATGTTTGTTACCATAACGAAACACTCGTGTGGTAGTGGTTGGCAAGGAATCATTTTGGACGATGCC